TTTCTCTAATTCCTAGAAATATTGAACACTTTTTCATATATTTTTTGATCAATTGTATTTCTTCTTCTGAGAAGTGTCTGTTCAGTTCCTTGGCCCATTTATTGATTGGATTAACTGGTGGGATTTTTTTTATGGTGTTAAGTTTTTTGAGTTCCTTATCTATCCTAGAGATTAATACTCTATCAGATGTGTAGGTAGTAAAGATTTCTCCCAATCTGTAGGCTCTCTCCTCATGTTATTGTTTCCTTTGCTGAGAAAAAGCTTTTTAATTTGAATCTATCCCATTTATTGATTCTTGATTTTACTTCTTGGGCTTTAGGAGTCTTATTAAGGAATTCAGATCCTAGGCCGACATGGTGAAGATTTGGGCCTGTTTTTTCTTCCATTAGGCGCAGAGTCTCTGTTCTAGTGCCTAAGTCTTTGGTCCACTTTGAGTTGATTTTTGTGCAGGGTGATAGGTTTATATATATATATATATATTTTTTTTTTTGTAATTGTCAATGGACCTTTATTTTATTTATATGTGGTGCTGAGAATCGAACCCAGGGCCTCACACATGCTAGACAAGCACTCTACCACTGAGCCACAAACCCAGCCCCATGAGCCACAAACCCAGCCCCGAGAGATAGAGGTTTAATTTCATTTTGCTACATATGAATTTCCAGTTTTGTCAGCACCATTTGTTGATAGGCTATCTTTTCTCCAGTGAATGTTTTTGGCACCCTTGTCTAGTATGAGATAACCATATTTATGTGGGTTTGTCTGTGTCCTCTATTCTGTACCGTTGGTCTAGAAGTCTACAATATCATGCTGTTTTTTGTTACTGTAGCTCTGTAATATAGTTTAAGGTCTGGTATTGTGATGCCTCCTGCTTCACTTTTCTTGCTAAGGATTGCTTTAGCTATTCTGGGTCTCTTATTTTATGACTGCTTTTTCTATTTCTATGAAGAACATCATTGGGATAGGAATAGGAATTTCATTAAATCTGTATAATGCTTTTGTTAGCATGGCCATTTTGATAATATTAATTCTACCTATCCAAGAGCATGGGAGATCTTTCCATCTTCTGAGGTTTTCTTCAATTTCTCTCTTTAGTGTTCTATAGTTTTCATTGTAGAGGTCTTTCACCTCTTGTTAGATTGATTCCCAGTGGGGTTTTTTTTTTTTTTTTTTTGAGGCTATTGTGAATGGAGTAGTTTTCCTAATTTCTCTTTCAGTGGATTCATCGCTGATGTATAGGAATGTGTTTGATTTATGGGTGTTGATTTTTATATCCTGCTACTTTGCTGAATTCATTTATTAGTTCTAGGAGTTTTCTGGTGGAATTTTTTGGATCTTCTAGATATAGAATCATGTCATTAGCAAATAGTGATAATTTGAGTTCTTCTTTACCTATTTGCCTTGCCCTCTACTATAGCATCTTCCACTCCAGGAGGATATTACTTCTCCTCCCGTTTCTCAGATGTGCAGTTTTTCTGATGGTTCAGCCTACCTGATGCTTACTTACAACAGAGAAAGCACCAACTGTAGAGACCAGAAGGAGGCAGGGATCTCTGATGTTAGCAATAGTCTGAAGCAGGGTATTGGGAAATTCTCTGAAGCCTTAGTCTGGCCTGTGAGGGAGGGACAGGATCCACTAGCTATGTCTACCTTGGGCAGGGGTCTTATGATACCTGAACCACCTGTTTGCTGGTTTGGGACCGGGGCTAATCCCTGTCACTTGACTAGTACCTTTTAGTTATAGTCACATCCAATTCATTCTTTTTTTTAAATATATATATTTTTTAGTTGTAGATAGACACAATATCTTTGTTTTTATTTGTTTATTTTTATGAGATGCTGAGGATCAAACCCAGGGCCTCACGTGTGTGAGGCAAGCACTCTTCCACGAGCTACAACCCCAGCCCCAATTCATTTTTTTCTGGGGTCAGAGAAGCATCTCAAAGCCGCTCAGTGCTCCCCCGTCTTCTGCATTGGTTCTCTCCAGGGCTCCTGTGCAGCTGAGAGACTCTTCTCTCCACCTGCTCTTGCAGGAGGTCCATCCTCATCACTATCAGTTCCTAGTGAGGAACTGGAAGCCGTGCTCAGTGGGATACAGCCTCCCCTGAATTAAGAGCTTCAAACAATGCAATCAGGAGGCTCTGCCTGCCTGGTGTCCTGACTGATCTATAAAGGGGAAATGGATTTCAAAAATAGCTTTATTTTTGTCCATTTGCTTCTCAGTGGTGTCTAGGCCATAGGCCCACCCTTTGATAGTGATCAGTCTGCTCCTGTTAATTGGTGGACATGTGGGATATAAGAATGTGTCCCTACCCCAGATTCTGCTCAGTGGTATCCTTTCATTCTGGTGAGTGATCTTCAGGCCCATATTCCTACCTTTCTCTGGTATTGTTGATTTTTCTGAAATCCTTCAAATCAGGGAAGCATATTATCCACCCTCCCTCTTCCACCTCCTACCTCCTTTTGTGAAGCAGCCTGAAAAAAAACAAACACCTTGCCTGATTGATTTCAGAGGCCATTGATTTCAGTTTTGCATATTAATCTCTGCCTCCTGTGGGCAATGTGGATTAACAACCTGCATGCAGCAACTCTGACTCTGAGAATCTAGACGTGCATGGAGTGGCCTGAGCAATTTAGCAGAGGCTCTAAGCAACTTAAGGAGAACTTGACTCAAAATAAATGAATAAATAAATAAATAAATAAATAAGGCTGTGGATGTGGCTCAGTAGTTGAGTGCCCCTGGGCTCAATCCCTGGTAACAACAAAAACAAAAACAAAAAAGTGCATGGGATGTTTTACAAGGGAGGAGGGGTGGAGTTCCCTCTCTGCAAAGATAGCCAGGTAGGGCTAGAGATGTAGCTCAGTGGTAGAGTGCCTGCTTGGCATGGGGGAGGTCCTGGGTTCCATCACCAGCTGCATACAGAAAGAGTAAGAATAAGTTTGTCAACACTTAAGAAATGTTCTGATTTATTTTATTTTTTGAGACCGGTTCTCATTATGTTGTCCAGGCTGGCCTCCAACTATCAATCCTCTTGCCTCAGCCTCCTAAGCAGCTAGGATTACAGGCATGGGGGGCATTATACCTGGCTTTAACTTTTTAAAATTTTTAATTGACAAAAGTTGTATTTATTTATGGGATACAACAGAATGTTTTAAAATAGACATATATTGCTGAATAGCTAAATCAGGCTAATTAACATAGGCATTAACATCACATCTTTGTCAGTTATTGACTAATTATAAAAATTCAAATCAGGGGCTGTGGCTGTGGCTCAATGGTAGAGCGCTTGCCTTGCATGTATGAGGCACTGGGTTCAATTCTCAGCACCACATATAAATAAATTAATAAAATAAAGGTCTATCAACAACTAAAAAATATTTTTTAAAAAATCAAATCAACAGTGGACATCTGTAAGATGTAGTTATTCTCAAGTCCGAGAAATGATAATCTGTCTCATCTCGTCTTTACATAAATCCTTAAGAATGTGTAATTTTATTCCCATTTTATAGAAGAGAGACAGCTGAGACCCAAATACATTAAGTGATCCAACCAAATCCACATGAAAGATAGAGCTGGGATTTGAATCTGGATTTCAACCAGCTCTAAAATTCCTGATGTCTGTTCTAACTCCCAGATTAGCAATACTGGGTTTGTGAATGATACGATCAGGGGACAGACAGAAGAGGATGGCGGGAACGCAAGGTTAAGCAAATAATTCTATGAAATGTGCCCACTGTGCTGACTCCTACATGCTTTCTTTGACAAAAAGTAAGTTACCTACAGCCCTGCCTGGCCTAAGTGGACAGGATATGTCACATTCCTCAGCAAACTACCTGTTATCTACAAGGAAGTGCAGTCAGGAAATAAAATCCACAAAAGGAACTCAAATAACTTTGAAGGGAGAGACATTTATAACCCTTTTCACAGACCAGATTCTGGAAGATAAGGATCATTCTCCTAACCATAAAACCTGTAAAAATGATGAAGAATCCAATTAGAACCAGTCAGCATGGGCCAAGGTGACCTCAAGTTGCCATGATAATGGGGACTTGAAAGTCTGATGTCACCCTGCTGTCAGTGGAAAGTCAAGAGGTGGACCTGAGCATAACTCTCTGGAAACTTCTTTGGAATCCCCAATAACACTAAAGGGCAGGAGAGGCATGTTATCCCTGTCCTCTCTGAGAGGACCCACTCCCTCCCTTGAGAGTGTCCGCTTTCCCTTTAATAAACTCATTCCTATTACTCTGAGCAAGATATCTGAAATCTTTCTGACTTGATAGCAAGAACTGACGTTTGAAGGGTGGGCCTTCATGCTACCTCAGTTTCTCTGAAGGCCCCAGCTCTGTCATTGTACCATGCCTCTCCCATTTGACCTTGCTTTTGACCTTTACCTATCATTGATCTAATCAAATCTTCACACACTTGGAATTTAGAGGGGCCCAAGACATGGGAGAAAGAATCTCATTCCTGGGCCTTGGGTCTCAAAACCAGAATTCAGAAAGGCTTAGGACGAACCAGTGTTCAGAACTGTCATAGATGATTTCCAATTTACATTGTTGGTTCCCTCCATGTTTGAGAGCTAGCCTGGGAATCTAACTATAATTTACAATCTTATTTTTAGAGATGGATACCATGTAAGGTCTAGTAAACTTTTGGGACCAGCTCAATGTCATTCAAACTGCCAGCATCGGTATTATGTATGATTGATGAGAAATCAGCCAAGAAAGGAGTGGGCTGGTGTCTCCTATGGGCAAATTAGCTTTCTTCTGCTCCATGTCACAGGGTGTTCTCTGAAAATTGGTCAGCTACTCTGTGAATGCGAAGGGCTTGTTGAGGTTCATCAGCACACCTGGGCCATGAAACCTGAAATCTCAAGGTACCTGGCTAAAGATAGATTAAACTATGAACAAGAAAAAAGCACTGTTAACGCTAAACTGTTAACTGTGATGGTTGCAGCAGTGGAGAAAATTCTAATTTTTTTTCTTTTTTTCCTCTTTCTAAATAGTGCTGGGAATTGAACCCAGGGCCTCTTACATACTAGGCAAGCACTCTACCTCTGAGCTACATCCCCAGCCTATCTTATACTTATCTACAATATATATTTTATTTTGTATATATATATATATATCAGGCACTGTGGTGCATGCCTGTAATCCAATGGCTGGGGAGGCTGAGGCAGGAGGGTTATGAGTTCAAACCAGCCTCAGCAACTCAGGAAGACCCTGTCTCAAAATAAAAGTAAAAAGAGTTGGGGGAGTACCAAAAACACAACCAAACCAAAAAAAAAAAAAACAAACAAACCCAAAAAACAAACCCATATATTATTTTTGATTAAAAAAAATTGAGGATGAAAGAAAAAGAGTTTATTAAAAAAAAACACCCTACCAATTTGGAGGGGACACTATTGCCACACACAGCCATCTGCTGCATCTTCTTATGAGTCCCACAGTGTGAGGAGACAATAGAAGCCTCAGATTGGATGTGGGGTGAAATCTGTGCAGCGTGAGTGCTGGGGAGGGTTCCAAGGCATTTATTAAAGGTGCAGGCAGTGACACTTCTTTGTTTCTTCCAAGTTGATTCACATCCAATTCTGAGCATGTATTCCTCCCCTTCCCCTTGGCCCAGGCTCCCCCTCCTCCCTCCAGTGACTAGCACAAAAATAGGAAGCTGAGATGGTCCCAAAAATAAAGTCTGTCCCCAAATCCAGGCTGTTGTCCTGGGTGTGCTGCGCCTTTTGTCACTTGCTGTTGCTGCCTGCCCGCATCAGTTGGACTCCGTGGTGAGCGTGCCATGTCATTAACATAGACCAAACATGTTTGTCTTTTCCCATGTCAGAATTTACTGAATAGCGATAAATTCACAGACTACACCACTTTCATCAGGGCCGTTCACTGAAGACTTGTGGGTCACCTGGTAGTTCTAATCTGGATAACTGCAGGCTCTTTTATTCCAATCTTAATTTCTAATATCTATAACATCCAAGTCACACATCACACTTCACACAATTTTACACACACACACACACACACACACACACACACATACACATATGAGTTACAGAGGGGCTGAAGGATTAAGGCAGACACAAGGGCTCAGAAGGCTGGACTGAGAGCCCATGCAAAGAGCAGATATGAATGCAAAGAGTCCCTGTAGGTGGTCAAATAAGACTAAGAACCAGCCCAAGAACTTGTTCAGAGTGCAGAGCTGTCAAAGTGCAGGAACTTTGCCAGGGTCCAGACAGTTGGCAGTTTCATAGTGTCAGCTTGGAGTATCAGCTTGGCATGGGACTTGTGTGGTCGTCACAGGCATGAGAAACCGCCTTTTGCTAAAGCACAAGTTCAGAGATTTGGAGGTTTGAATGTTGTGGGGATTTTCCTGGGCAAGGCTTGTGACAAGTGACCAAGTGATGGGGTCAGGGTGCCACCATGGCCAGTCTTGGTGTATCCCTCCTTTTATGGGTCTCAAGTAAAGGGGTTGTATCACTTGGTGGTCTAGTGTGAGTCTGATATTTCCCATATGAGTTTGATACACCCATACATCCATGTGCATCTGACTAATTTGATAAGTTCATGGGTGGTCATTCTTATCAGCATGATTAATGTATTTCTCTTGATGCCTTATGGTTGTGTCATAAAGCAGATGGTGGTTGTTTACTTGTAAAAAGGATGGAGTCATTGCACCTCAGCACTGAAACTCAAAATGGAGCAGCTTGTGGCAAACTACTGCTTTATGAAATGGAGCAATGAAGGTTTAGGCACAGCCTGAAAACTGCTGTTCTCTGATCATGGAGGAACTCAGAGGAGGGCACAGCCTGTTCTCCACAGACAGGAGGGTGCTCCTCCCGCTGGTTGCCAGCTACAGTATGTGCATGAGTGCGCACCTCCCTGCTGACCACAGCTTCTGCCTTAAAAACCTTTGCTGTGATCAGGGGGTCCAGGTTTTTTCAGGTTTCCCAGTGGCCCCCCCAAAATCCACAATTTTAGGACCCCTTCCTAGCACTGGGGCCACAATCCCTCCTAGCCCTTCAAAGCCCAGGTTTGCAATCTGAAATTCCTAGATTCCACCTCTCCACTCCAGCCCCTCCCCACTGGGGAAACACCTGATCCTCCCAAACTGGGTCATGAACACCCAATAAAGACTTGGAGAGGTGCTGATCTTCTTGGCAGCCTTTAAAACACAGGAAAGGAGGTCATTCTCCATGGGACAAGGGAGCACATGCTTTGTAATCCCAGGGACTCAGGAGCTGAGGCAGGAGGATTACAACTTCAAGGTCAGCCTAGGCAATTGAGTGAGACCCTGACCGAAAATAAAAAGTAAAAAGAGCTGGGGATGGAACTTAGTGGTAAAGCACCCCTGGGTTTAACCCCTAGGATAAGAAAGAAAGGAGGGAAGGAAGGGAGCCACAGAAATTAAGAATACAAAAGCCTGGTTTGTTTCTTTGAAGGTAAAAGAGGAAATTTTATTATTTTGCTCAGGAGCTCAAAGCAGCAAAATAAATTACTAAATGTGTGCTTATGTGCAAGCAAAACACATAAGTTAATGAATTACTCCAACTGCAGAGGCATATCTCGGGGGTTGGAATAGTTTTAGAAAACCATGACACCCACCTAACACACTCTTCCAATATCGTGCTTCAACATTTTTCTTCAGTAGCTGGGGATTGAATGTAGGGCCTCATACATGGTAGGCAAGTACACCACCACTGAGCTATGACCCAGCCCTTTTTTTATTTTGAGGCAGAATCTCAGTAAGTTGCTGAGGCCAGCCTTTAACTTCTCATCCTCCTGCTTCAGACTCCTGAGTAGCTGGGATTATTGGCCTGTTCCACTGCATCTGACTTCTTCAACAACTTTTAAAAAATCGCAGCCAGGCCCAGTGGCTCCGGAAGCTGACAGGAGGATCGTGAGTTCAAAGCCAGCCTCAGCAAAGATGCGAGGCAGTAAGCAACTCAGTGAGACCCTGTCTCTAAATAAAATACAAATGGGGTTGGGGATGTGGCTCAGTGGTCGAGTGCCCCTGAGTTCAATCCCCTATACCAAAAAAAAGTTGTAGCCAGGTACTGGGGGAGCACACTTATCATCCAAGTTACTCAGGAGACTGAGGCATGAGGATCACAAGTTGAAGGCCAGCCTCAGCAATTTAGGGAGGCCCAATCTCAAAATAAAAAATAAAAAGGGTTGGGAATGTAGCTCAGTGACAGAGCGCCCCTGGGTTCCATTCATAATATTGAAAACAAAATTGTAGTAAAATGCACACAACATCAAATTGACAATCTTAACCATTTTTCTGAAGACAGTGGCATCGAGTACATTCACATCCTTGAGCTACCATCACCACCATCCATCTCCTGAATGTTTTAATCTCCTCAAATTGACACTCTGTATCCATCACATGATAACTCCCTGTTCTCCACTAGACTCAGCCCCCGGGCCCACACAGTAAGTACCTTCCCGTGGAGTGTGGATCAGGAGCATCCCCCCAAAGCCCACAGGTTAGAAGCTTGTTACCAGTGTGGCATTACCGGGAAATGGTGAGACTTTAAGAGGTGGAGTCCGGTGGGAGGTCTTAGGTAATTGGGAGTGTGTCCTTGAAGAGGACTGTGGGACCCAGTCCCCTCCTCTTTCTCTCTTTTGCATCACCCCAGGCCCAGAACAACAGAGCTAGTTGATCATGGACTGAAATCTCCAAAACTTTGAGTCCAAATTAATCTTTTATCTTCATAAGTAGGTCAATCATCTCAGGTGTGTATTACAGTAATGGTAAGCGAACACATTCATATAAGTAGAATCATATAATATTAGTCTTTTTGATACTGGATTATTTTGTTAATGAAATGGTCTCAAGATTCATCGAAGTTGTAGCATGTTAGAACTTCCTTTCTTTTTAAGCGGAATGATATTCCATCACATGGATTGTACTACATTTTGTTTATTTCATTCATCCGTCAACAGGCACTTGGGTTGTTTCTACCTTCTTTATTTCTTGTAGTACTGGAGATTGCCTTGTGCACACTAGGCAAGTGCTGTACCAGTGAGTTATATCTTCAGTCCTTTTTATCCCTTTTTTTGAGATAGGGTCTTGCCAAATTCACAGGCTGGCCTTGAATTTGCGATCCTCCTACCTCAGGCTCCCAGGTCTCTGGGATTACAGGAATGTACCTCTGTGCCCAGCTGAATCTACCTTTTGGTTATCATGAATAATGATGCTGTAAATGTGGGTACACACACATTTCTTGGAATTCCTATTTGACGTGTCAACAATTTTTCTGAAGGCTTTACAAAGTTGACCTAATTGGTCACTTAGTCTATGGTAAAGATCACAATGTAAGATTAACACAGCCAGATGCGAAGAAGCTGCCCAAAGTGACTCCTTTTTTTATGATTACCCCTTGATGTATGGTGCCAGCTCTGCTCACAGGCTCTGCCTCTGACAATTATTGTCTCTGTGATTCACCTAGATCCAGGTTGAAACTCTGAAAATCCAAAATTCAAAATGAATCTCAAATTCCAAAACTTGGTGAGCACTATATGATCCTACAAATAGAAGATTCCACACCTGACCCTCTGTGACAAGTTGTAGTCAAAACACAGGCACATGTAAATATACTGTAAAATTACCTTACGGCTCTGTGTACAAGGTATATACAAAGCATACTGAGCTTCATGTTTAAACTTGGGTCTCATCCCCAAGATATCCCATTATGTAAATGCAAATATTCCACAATCTGAAAATAAAACCTACAAGTCCAGAAAACTGCTGGTTGCAAGCACTTCCAATTTAAAAAAAAAAAAAGAAAAAAACTTAACCTATGCATCATTAAAGATTTGCAAATCAGAATCCTTAGAAAAGATGAAGAAAACTGGATGTTTTCAGTTTGGGGCAGAGACTCACAGAAGAGCAGAGCACACACAGAGCACTACCTCCTGATCTAAGGTAGTCTTAATGGATTCCTGTGGGGAGATCAAGTGTTGACCTAGTGATGTTTCAGGGTCAAAAATGTGACTCTATTTCAGGGTCAAAAATGTGACTCTAGCATGGTCTCACCTTCTTGAACAGTGTGACCTTTGTCAG